AACAAAACAAGATAAACAATGAAGAGACTTTAAATAAAAATTCAATCAATTCAATCGTATGTTTAGTTTTGGGTTGTCATTTCAAACCATTGTCTCAGTGCTTCAGCTAAAACATTCGGTAAAGTGTTTAAGTCATGAAGAATAATGTAGTGAGGGAATGGGAAAGTATCCATATAATGTTCAACATTAACTTGTCCATTTTCAAAGTTAACACTTTTCATTTCAAGAATTGATTCATTTGAAGGATTGTCTAAGACAATGAAAACAACAAAAGTTTTCATTGAAGAGAAGTCTCTTAGTATTTTAGAAATACCTTTTTTGTCAGAGAATCGTCCATCTGAGAGGATAAAAATAATTTGTTTAACATCCAGTTCAATAGAAGGGTTATATCGTTGACAAACAAGTCCACTCTCATGTAAATAGACATACAAAGACTTCATTAATTTAACCATGTCAGTATTATTTTGGTTAAATTGGAATTCTTTAACAATTCTTGCTCCATCTTCTCCATTAAATGTTGTTCCAAACTTTTGAATACATTTTACATCTTCTCCGAATCTAACAACACTTAATTCTCCTACTTCTAATTTAGTTAAAGCACTAGACAATAAAGCAACTGTCTCTAATGCCATTTCACCAGCGTTATTTATAATCATTGATTGAGAGTCATCTATTGCAACTAATATTTGATAGTCTCTTTTCTGTGCTCTTGTTCTTCTAAGCCAAATTTTATCCTTTTTAAATCCAGAAGCAATATATGGAATTACTTTCTTCATATTAATTTTCTTTCCAGTTCTATAGTCACCTTTCATCTGACTTGCTAATGATGGTTCTAACACAATTCTTAATTTCTCACATAATTCCATAGCAGACTGATTTGTTTTTGATTCATACATACTCCATTGTTGTTTTTCACTTTCATCTATCTCAATTATTTTTTCTTCATTAATTTCATCAATAAGTTGTTTCTTTTCTCCTTCCTCAATAACCATCTCTTTGTCATTTGTATTTTCTTTAAATGCAACATTAAAAGTGTTATTTTTCTCAGTTGATTCTTCAATAACACGTTCTCTTATATATTGTTCATTAACTTTTTCTTTTTCAAGAACATCATTAGTATCTTCTTCCATTATTCCATCAACTTGTTGATTTTCTTTCATATCTCTTCTTTTCTTTCTTTCTTTTCAATCATATTCTTCTTTTCTCCTTCTCCAGTTTTTTCTTCTTCCATCTTTTCAATATTCATTTCTTCTTTGGCTGGTGCTATTGTTTGTTGTTGAGCTGTTTCATCAACAACATATTCATCTTTGTCATCTCCACTTTTCTGCCCATCAACAACCTTTTGTTCTTCTGTCATTGTGAGGTCTTCAATATGATTCTGGCTATCACCATTTCCTTTCTTTTCTTGTTGAACTTTCCTTAACTCTTGTTGTTCTTTCTTTGAATTACCATTAACATGACCTTCACCATCTCCAACTTTTGTATTATTTTCTTCATTATTTCCACTTCCTTCTCCTTCCTTTTGTTGTGTTGAATCAATTTTGGCATTACTTTTCATTCCAGTATTTTCTTCAACACCATATGCATCCATTGGAGTATGTTCTGCTTCAACCTCTTCATTTTTCTTCTGTTCTTCATTCATATCACCTTTTCCATTGTCTTGATTTTGGTTCATATCACCAGCAAGATCTTGTTCAAGTTCTTTTGTTTCTACCATATCTTCATTTTCTCCATCTGCCTTTTCTTCTTCAACACTTTTTGCTTCTTCATCTGATTTATTGAGTGCATCAATATCGAATTGATCACCTTGTTCTTCTTCTTCTTCATTTTCATTATTATTTTCTTCTTCAATTGACATATTTTCTTCACCTTCTTCATTCATTTTAAATTCATCATCTTCACCTCCTTCTTCTTGATTTTCTTCTTCAATTTGTTCTTTACCAGGAAGTGTTTGAAGTTTTTCAGTTTCTTCTACATCTTGACCCTCTTCTTGTTGTTCTTCACCTTTCTCTTCTTTTTCATCATTGCCTTCTTCCATTGCTTGTTCTTGGTGTTCCTCCTTCTTCTTTTCTTTCTCTTCTTTGATATTTCCTTCTTCTTCACTTCCCATACCTTCTGCCTCTCCTTTCATTCCTTTACCAATAGCATTTTCTTCTTCCATTGATTTCTCATTATCTTCTTTATCCCACATCTCAGCATCAACAATTTCTCTTTTGTCTTTATCAACATCACCCATTATTTGGTCTCTGTCGACATCTTCTTCTTGGTCTTTGTTGTTGCCATCTTCATTTGGCTCTTCATCATATTCCTCTCCATCAAAATCATCTTGCATGTCAAACCCTTTATCCATGTCTTGTTTTTCATCTTTGTTTTGTTCTTGTTGTTTTTCTCCTTTTAACCCAGTTAATTGTTCTTGGTCTTTGATCTCTTTACTAACATCATTTATTCCTTTACCCTCAGCCATACCAACTCCGTCTGTAATAAATTCTTCTCCTTTTTCTTGTTTACCATCATCCTCTTTTTCTTCTTGATTACAAAATCCATCTTTGTATAATGTGCCAAATGTATTAAGACACATAACAGTAAACTTTCTCACTGATTTATGGATATGAAGTGAAGTAATATAATGATCTTCAAGTACATGTTCTACGTTTGTTAGTAATTCTTTCATATATTTTGTATTTGTTGTTAAACAATTCTCAGTCATTTCTTTAAGGTTATTATGAACACCATTTCCAGCAAGAATAAATGAATGAATAGATGGGAATGAATCATTTTCTTCTTCATTTAATTGAGAAGATGCTTTAAACAAAATTTGACAAGTAATTAAACATTCTTCAAGCATTTCATTAATTTTATTTGAAGAACTAAATTCTTCTTCAATGGTAGTGTCTATTTCTTTCAATGATTTCAAAATCAATAAGACATTTTGTGAATTATTAAATCCAATATTCTTAATTTCTTGTTCAATTATAGAAATCATATTTTTTCCTTCATTAATCATTGACTTAATATTTTCAATCATTTGAGTTGTCATAAAATGATTTCCTTCTAATAATGTTTCTTCCATTATATTTTTAAATACTTCTCGATTCTTTTGAATTTTTTCTTTCATTCCATTAAATTTTTCTCTTAAACTTTCCTCAACAAGAATACTATCTTCTAATACATTTTCTATTCTACTCAAAAACACATAATTTCTGAGTAATGTTAAATGATTAACTTTACTAAATTTTTCTTCATCATGACTAAGAATAGATAATACTTTCTTTAAATAATTAACAAAGTTCTGCATCTTTCTAATTTCACTACTTTGTTTCATACACATGTCATAGAGATTATTAACATAATTTTGAGTATATTCAATTTCTTTTCCATTAAGATCATTTGAAGCATTAATTTTTACTTTATTAAATAACTGGAATTTACTAATTGTTTTAAAATGATATTCATTAATTTTTTGAATTAATGGAATATTTCCTTCAATTTTACATGGCTTTCTCAATACCATTTCTAATGAAATATCATCTAAATTAACTGTTTTTCTTGAATGACTTAAATGGTATCCTTCTAACATTTCAATAACATCAAGTAATGCTCTTTTCTTTAAAACAAGTCCTTCTTTTCCTTTAGTTTCTTGAAGTTCTTTAACTCTTCCAATTAACTCATCTTCAAATAATTCTAACCATTTTAACCCATCTCTATCTTTAAAAGTAATATCTTCAACACACTTTCTTAATGTTTTTGAGTGAAGAGTTTTAATTTTATTAATATAATATTTAATTTCTTGTACTCTATCTCCATTTCCTTTATTTATTTTTTCTAATACTCCTAATGACACAAATTCAGGTGCTTGTACTTTTTCTATTTCACTAGGATTTGATTCAAATGTTTCACTTTGTACAATCGGTTGAATACTTTCTTTTAATAAATTATCAAATTCTTTTGTAAATGCAAATAATTTTCTATTTGATTTTTCTGTTTGATCTTGGAGTTTAGCATAATTAATATCATTCCACTTTGTTAATTTAATAAAGTCTTTAATTTTTTCAATAATTGGTTTAATTGAATGTTCTATTTGTTCATTAATTCTTGTTTTAAATAATGAATAATATTCTTTGATTTGAATAAACATTATGTTAACTTTATTCCATTGATTATTACCATTAATTTCAAATATTTTTTGTGTTAGTTTAATAACAATTTCCAATAAATGAATTCGTTCATTAAATTGACCATAATTACATTTATAAACAAATTGGTTCATTGATTCTAAAAATTGAAGTTCATATTGTTCATTTCCTTCACTAGCAATATATTCTTGAACCATTTTCCATACATTAACAAACCAACCTCTTGCATTACATTTATGTTTCTCAATAATATTATCAGCTAATTTGTTCCAACTCTTTAATTGCCAACTTCTCCATTTTTGTATAATTAACGCAACACGATTCATTTCTTCTTGTAATGAAACATATTGTGCAGCAACATTTTGCCAATTTTGTAATTCTCCAAATAACACATGAAGTGTAACTAAATACTTCATTAATGGTGCAGTCTTTGGATATCCTCGAATTCTATCAACAATTGAATTAATTTTAACAAGCATTTCATTTTCTGGAAATTCTTCCAATAATTTACAAACATGATTATACAATTGATCTAATACATTCATTAATTCAATAATTTCATGAACACACCCATCTTTATTTAAATCAATTAATTTTTCTTCTTTTGGATGAATTAGTAAATCAGTTTTTGTACGTATAAAAACAGTATGGAATGGTGATGATATCCAATCAAAGTCTTTTGGTAATGGAATGTCTTTATTATCAAAATATTCAGCTAACATATTCTTAAAAACTTCATTTCGTTCTTCCATTGTTTCGTCAAATAATTGATTACTTTCTTTTTCATTTAATACATTTTCTATAAATCCAAGAATAAACTGAACATCTTCATCTGTAATCCAACTTCTTGCTTTCTTCTTTTTTGGTTTATCATTATTAATTGATGTAGTATTAGGAATGTCAAGTGATTGTTGTTGTAATAAATCTTGAATATCAGCAAAGAAATCAGGAAATTCTTCTCTATACTCTTCCTCTTCTTTATCTTCATCAATAGCTAATTCATTTGTTTTTGTTTTGTACTTAAATTGCTGTGCTTCTTCCTCTTCAATTTTTCTTTTTTCTTCATCCTCTGCATTTTTTAATGCAACCATTAGTCTTAATAAAGGAACAATTGTTTTAACTGCACCATTAACATCTCCTTTATAGCCTTTTTCCATATTAACAAAGAGAATTTTAAGAATGGTGTTATTAAATGAATTATTGTTTTGTTCAATATGTTGTAATATAAAATCTCCAATACAAGACACTTCTTCATTAATATCATCTGAATTAACTGGGAATGCAATTACACTCTTTAAAATCTTTTCAGCATTATCATTTCTTAAATGTTTTAAAATCTTTTTGAATAATTCAATTCTAATTCCTGTCTTTAATAAATATAATCCAAATAGTATTGGAATAGTAATATCTCTAAATAATGGATATTCATTTTGAATATGTTCAATAAAGAATTCTGTTTGTTCTTGCCACATAATTTCATGTGATATAATTCCAATTAATGATGGAATGTCATTGATATTTTCAATGGAATTAAAAAGTTCATTAATTTTATTATAATTTCCATTTGATGTAGTAAATAATCTGAACTCTTGATATAATTGTTCATATGGAATGTCACTATTTCTTTCTTTAACATTGTTGTTATATTGTTCTTTTTCTTTTTCAATATTATCTTTCAC